CAAAACTACAACTATCTTATATTTGATAAAGGGGCTAAAAGCATGCAATGGAGGAAGGATAGCATCTTCAACAAATGGTGCTGGGAAAACTGGAAATCCATATGCAACAAAATGAAACTGAATCCCTTTCTCTCACCATGCACAAAAGTTAACTCAAAATGGATCAAGGAGCTTGATATCAAATCAGAGACTCTGCGTCTGATAGAAGAAAAAGTTGGCTCCGATCTACAGATTGTGGGGTCAGGCTCCAAATTTCTTAATAGGACACCCATAGCACAAGAGTTAATAACTAGAATCAACAAATGGGACTTACTTAAACCTGTGCCATTTCTTATGTATCCAAAGCTGCAATGTCCCTCAGTCATTTCCAAATGTGACAGTTTTCCTTGACAGCAAAGACAGAAATCAAATCAACCCACAGCAGATCTGCTTGTAAATAAACTTGTTGTGAATAAACTTGAAAAATCTCTTCTTTTGTCATGAGCTTGTTCAGGAGCCTCTGTCTGGTCTGACATTCTCCCTCAATCCCGAGCCACTCTTTAGCATTTGTTTTCTGTCAGAACCACTGACAAATGCTCTCTCCTTGAGCACACTGTAGTCCTCCGAGCCCAACTGGGGCCTTGTGCTTGGACATGTCCCTACCCTATGTCCAATAAACTGTCCTCCCCACCATCCCCCAAGAGATGTCTGATCACTTGGCTGCTTCAGCCAGGATTTTGTTGGTGGATCTATCAGAGTCTCTCCTTTACTCTGGTGCTTCCTCTTAGTAACTTTCCATCCACTGATTCTGCCCACCCAGTCCTTGGCTTTTAATTCCCACGGCCCATGCTATTGTCAGGGTTACCCTCCTGCAAAGCTCCATATCCATATGGCAATGGTCCTGAATAAAGTCTGCCTAGCCATTTCAACAAGTATCAGAAGAACTTTTTCTTATGGTCTCCTTTGAATACCTTTTGTAGACATACTTTTAAAATAAAGTGAGAACTCATCCAAAACCTTCCTTTTTAATCTCAAAATCAAATGTCTTCTTAGTGCTTCTTGCTCCTAATCACTCCCTCACATCCTTCACCTAATAAGAGGCAGAATCAGTAACAGAAGCATGAGATTGCTGTCAAAATGCATCTCAATTAATTAAGCATATAATCCAAGAAGAGACTGAAGAGGACCTGAAGGCCAGGAAACTTAAGTGATTTAACCAATGTTCAAAGATTTTAAAAAATGCACCAGCAGCAGTGGCACACACCTGTAATCCCAGTGGCTCTGGAGGCTGAGGCAGGAGGATTGTGAGTTCAAAGCCAGCCTCAGCAACTTAGTAAGACTCTGTCTCTAAATAAAATATAAAAAGGGTCTGAGGTGTGACTCAGTGGTTGAGTACCCCTGGGTTCAATCCTTGGTATAAAAAATAAAAGACAAAAAATTTAAGAGTAAAACCACGAAAAGAACCTGGGTCACATGTTTTATAGAACTCCTTGAACTGAAACCAATAAAATATTACAACCAGTTCAAAGGAGAGCTCCAACCACCAAGCATTTATAGTCAGATAAGAAATACTGGAATGAATCTACAAAAAGCAGCAAAACTGGAAAGGTTGGTCAATATCTACAAGACAATAAACCATGGCACTCTGCAGAAGCCAACTTTCTTTTCAATGGGAGGAATTATTTGCATGGTTGCTAGATTTCTACAATTAACCTGTATCTCTAGGGAGTTGTGAAAAAGCCTAGACTAAGCCAGGCAAAGAGGCATCTTTATAAAATGGGATAATCTCCAAAGTTGCTAACATTCCATCAAAAGCATATTCGGTACTCTCTGTTGCCCATTTCAAATCTCCCAGTTTTTCCCTACTCCAAATGGCAGTGACCGCGGGCCCGTAAAAGGAACAAGACAAAAGGCATTAAGGAAGGGAATCTGTCTAAATGTTGTCAAGAGCATAGGATCACGGGCTCCAAAAACAGACTGCCTGGGCTCCCTCGAATCCCAGCTTTGCCTCACATGGTTTTGTTATCTTGAGCGATTTTACTTAGCCATCTGTGCCTTGGTTCGCTCATCTGTAAATGGGCATAAGTGTAAGTGCCTACTACCCAGCTGAATTAATCATTGACAGAGGCTCAGTAAAATGAGAGCTGTAATTGTTATGCCTCTTTGGAACCTGTGACCATAAAACCATGCCTATCTTTACTTTGAGGTTTGATGCCTGACCAGGCCCCAAAGTCTACCCCCCCACCCCTCCACCTCTCCCTCTCTCACACACTCTCTCCCTTACACACACACTCTCTCTCTCTCTCTCTACACACACACACATACATACACGCGCGCGCGGTTTGAACCCAGGGGCACTTTACCATTGAGCTACATCCCTAGTTCCTTTTATCTTTTATTTTGAAGACAAGCTCTTGCTAAGTTGCTGAGGCTGGCCTCAAATTTGTGATCCTCCCTGCCTCGTCCTCCTGAGTGGTTGGGATTATAGGTGTGCACCATTATGCCTGGCCCAGAATTCTCTCTTAATGATTATAACTCTATAAAACAATGAATGTGGATTCTATTCTTTCTCCAAGCTTCCCATTGATTAAGATGTACAACAATGTTTACCATCCTGGCTTTCTCCAGCTTAAGAGATGATATTAGCATCAAGAATGGGATGCTCCTTGTTTCTCAGGAATCTTCAACAGATATCTGAGGTCATTAAAGCTCCTATCACAATTCTGTCTTGTTCTGTGCCAGTGACAGCTCAGCATCAAAAACAACGCCAGCCTTTCCTCCGGCTGGGCCAGCTGCTACAATCCCAACACAGTCAGCACACTTGCCTCAAGTCTCCTATTATTTTGTCTTCACTCAAACACAAGTTAGAGGTTTACTCATCTGAGTTCCTACAAATTAGACTGGCAAAAGGCAGATTAACAACAACAATAACCCAGCAATCTGGTCACACACACACACACACACACACACACACCAGAATTCAGTGATGAGTAACAAAGGGCTAGTTAGAATGGGGAGCTTATATAAAGATCTTAACCAAAAAACCCATAAATTTGTATAGTAGGGACAAAACAAAAAGGAAAAGAGTGTTAGGCTTCCGCAGGCAGCCAGCTGTAGAAAGGTAAGTGTATGGGCAGAGTAAGAAGAGAAGAGGGAAAGCAGGGCTAGTTTTAGCAAGGTCTGTTATGTACTTTGCTCTGGTGCTGTTTCCGGGTATACAGAGGCTGGAGTTGGACAGAATCGTCCTGTTCTGCCTCATAGAGAAAGGGAGGGCAGAGAATTTTCCCCCATGTCTGTTTTTCCATAATTGCCTTCAGCTCAGAAAAATTCTCATGCTACAGTTGGATAGGGGTGGGGCGGGGGGGGCAGGGGGGGCGGTATTCCGAACACCTGCAGGGGCAGCATGAAGAAGGGCCACAGGCAGGACAGCCAGCGCCTGCTAGCCAGTCTCTCTGTCATGGAAACAAAGAAGTATACCACATTTTAAACAGTATTCATCATCAAATGAATGAATGGATGGATTGTGGTAATCCTATTATGTTTGCTGTTTTAGGTTTTGCAAGTTTTCTATGATACAATGTATATTTTTAAGATCAGGAGAAAAGTCATTTTTGTTTTAGGTTTTTAAATGCATAACATGGCTTGTTGAGTCTGATCACTGTAGTGTGCCAGCTTATTAAGCATGGGAAATATGAAGGTGAACAAGACAGGGCCACCCTCATGGAGCTCACTGTCTTGTGGTGATTGCCCCTTCCTCATGTTCATGGCTGCTGTGCCAAGACCTTTGGAATTCCTACCAGTTTCTACAACCAGAGTCATTTGATTACCTAATTCTGAACCCAGTAACAACTGTAGTCCATCCTATGTGTTTTAATTATTGACTACACTCATTTCATTATACTTGAACTGTTCAAATAAATACACACTATTTTATCCTCCTGCAAAAAAAAAAAAAAAGACTATAGGTTTGGGGAGGTTTTTTTTCGTTTTGTTTGGTGCTAGGGATCCAACCCAGGGCCTCATGTATGCTAGGCAAGCACCCTACCACTCAACTACACCCCACCTCTGATTGTGAATTTGTTTAAAGAGAAAAGCCATTTTTAATATTTCTTTAATACCTAAGTTGACCATACTGGTGCACGTTATGTTCAATAAATATTACTTTGCTGGGGAAAATTCACTTTTGAGTCATCAACAATCTTTCCCATAATGACCATCTGTTCGTCTCTCGTGGGTCAGTTTGCCTAATATCTAAATGACCAGTTCTTCCCCTACTTTGATGAAAATAGCCTGAATTCCCCTTTCACCACTCACACTTCCTTTATCTTCACATTTCGGTCAGCATGCTCAAGGTTTCATGATCACAAGGATGGCGTAAACATCTATTTCAGTTAAGAATCTGGATAGAGGGTTAACCCATATTTAAGTGTTTCTTGTTTCACATACATACAGAATTCAATCACTCAAATAGTGATATATTGTCCCTAAATGAGTTTGGGTGGCTTTTACTATGGCTGAGATTAGATTAGTTTTTAAAGCTTTTCCAGTGGATCCATTTGGTACAATTTTTGACTTTCACAGGAGAAGGTAACATAATATCATGTAAAGCCAGAAAGACCAGGATTTGGATCTCAACTTCAGTGACAGGGATCCCCAACAGATTCTTTACCTCTCTGAGCCTCAGTTAACCTCATTTGGAAAATAGGAATACCAACACCTACCCCTCGCTGGGGTTAAGATTAATTGTGTGAACAGTACCTGTGGCATTCTAGGTGTGGTCAGTAGGTATTTATTAAACCGATGAAACCATAAGAGAATAAAGTATTAGGAAAGCACCACCTCCCTCGTTGTTTCTACTGGCAACCACAGTGTCTGGTAAAGGATACAGAAATTCCTTTTGGAGTCAAATGACATAAGCAAAGGTTGGTGCTCCTTGGGTGAAAAGGCTGAGGGCGGGGTTTAATAAGGAAGTGGCTCTCTTCCCCAAACTTCCCTTCAGCCTTTCGTCCTAAACCTGAAGAGGCTGCTGCCTGGAGCTTTAAGTCACATAAGCCTTTCTAAAGGAGAAGCTAAGAAGACCTGTGCAGAGTTGTTTCCTCTTAAGCTTTGTGGAGAGAGACTCAGGTATAGAAATAGCCACACTGCCACCTGCCCTGCTGCCACCGCTGACAGCTTCCAGACCAGGTAACAGCAGGAGGCAGCAGTCTCCTGCTCAGCCTTCTCAGGGGGACAGGTGGGGCTTCAGCCCTGGTTTGCCAAAGAAGGCAGAACTCAGGGAGTGATTGACTGGCTTTATTACAAAGTTATTATGTCTGTCTCAGGAATCAAAATGACATTGAAATTCTAGTTAATGGGGTTTCCAGGAAACATGAGAAAGGTCAGTCATGAAGGTTTCTCTTTCATTTCTCTTTGCTTCATTCAAAATATATAGATGTGAGGTGTTAGGAGTAGGGTTGGAGTCTCTGAGTCAGAGTTAGCATAAGCCTCACAGGCCTTTTGTAGGAATCTTCCAGGTTCTGAACCAGTGCTCAGGGTTCATTTATAGTTTATGTTTCCTTAAGTCCAGAAGTTGGGCTTCTATAAAATGAAATGTCCTCAGGAGAGAGTTTTAAATAGTTTAATTAATAATATGCAACCAGTTGAGTCCCTTTTTTGAGGGGGGAGGGGTACCGGGGATTGAACTCAGGGGCACTCAACCGCTGAGCCACATTCCCAGCCCTATTTTGTATTTTATTTAGGAATAGGATCTCACTGAGTTGCTTAGCACCTCGCTTTTGCTAAGGCTGTCTTTGAACTCCTGTCTCGGCCTCCCCAGCCACTAGGATTACAGGTGTACACCAGGGCACCTGGCTAGTTCAGTCCTTTTTCACATTATGCTGTCCTCTTTCATTGTGTTTATAACAAGGTACATGAGGACTGAGAGTTGGTCAGTGGCTGGGTGCTGCTGCCTGGCTGACCCCTCCCCTGGAGCAGGGACGAGTACCTTAAGGGGACCTGGGTACTCATCCTAGTCCTGGCAGTCCCCCGAAGGACTTCCTTGAATACAAGGCTCAGATGAAATGGGAGATCCATCTGCTGACCCTGGAGAAAGCTCCCTCCTCCCTGAGTTCCCTTTCACACAGTGAGCTCCTTCTGTGTGATGAATGTGACCCGAGGCTTCGTTTAGCTTCTTTGTATTTAGCTTCAGTTGCAAGAAGTTAAGGCATTGAGCTTAGCTTCTAGGGCAGGAAGTTAAGGCATTTTGCCTTATTCCTCATTTCACCTTCAGGATTAAAGAACATGTCATACTTTGAGATGGCAAACAAGGCAGAAAGGAATGAAGGTCTGGAGAGTTCTAGAGTGAGGGAAAGGGAGGAGGGTAGCCAGCCTCCACAGGTCAGAAGGGCCCAGGGTGCTGAGGACAGGGCTCAAGGCAACTGGACAGATGCAACTTATGATTTGGGATAGGAACCTCCCATGGGAAACAGCATGGACACCCTGAGTTACACTCAATTCCCAGCTGCATGTTCAGGGCAGATGGAAGTCAGTTCTTTTGCTGGGCCTGCCACCCAAAGGGTCTCCATGTCCCCCACATCTGAGACAGGCAGAGGTGAAGAGAACCAAAGGTAGGTCCAAACTCCAGCATAATTGGGGCAATAGGTTGTCATGGGGGCCTCAGTTGTCATTTCCTCTGTGTGCTCATCTGTTACCCACCATGGGAAGGGAAGGGAAATCCAATCTCCACAGAGGTAGAAAAATCCCAAAGTGTGTCTGGCAATCCCCAGAGCTTAGAGGTTCCCTTCAGTTAGGTTTTCTCAGGGGAAGCTTGGTGCAAGCCATACAGTCGTGTTCCCCAAGGGCATGCTGAGATGGGAAGACACTGGGGCCTTGGCCATTAACAGGTTGGAAGGAAGAGTCCTCAGAAAGGAAAAAAGTTCAACAAAAGAAGCTCTGTGACCTTGGCTTCTGGAGAGTGGTTTTTAGATCCAGGCACAGTGGCACATGCCTGTAATTCCAGTTTCTTCAGAGGCTGAGGCAGGAGAATTGCAAGTTCAAAGCCAGCCTCAGCAACTTAGCGGTCGTAAGCAACTTAGAGAGACTCTGTCTCAAAATCGAAAATAAAGGGCTAGAATGTGCTCACTGGTTAAAGCCCTGGGTTCAATCCCCAGTACCCACCCCCCACAAAAAAAAAAAAAAAAAAGAAAAAGAAAAAAGAAAGTGTGGGTTTGTTACTGATAAGGAGAAAGTATATAGATGTAAGGTGTTATAAGTAGGGTTGGGTCTCTGAGTCACAGTTAGCATAAGCCTCACAGGCCTTATGTAGGAAGTGAAATCTCCCAGATTCTGAACCAGTGCTCAGGGTTCATTTATAGTTTATGATTCCTTAAGTCCAGAAGTTGGACTTCTGTAAAGTGAAATGTCCTCAGGAGTTGCTGAGAGCAGGTTGGATCAAATATGTTATAAACTGACTTGCTCACTGCTGCTTTAAAGTAAGACTTAGCTATCAATTAAGCAGGAGCGCTCGCTTACCCTTCTTCAATACACTTGAAGTATCTTACACATTAATATCTTTATGTCTGCATTGTTCTCTTCACTCTTGTACATTCCAGGCTCTGGTCACAGCGTCCTGTCCCTCCTCCCTCATTCTACGGCCACATTCTGCATCCATGTCCTGAGCAAGTGTTGCCTTCCTTTCTGCTTCTCTCACTCTTGGCTTTGCCAGTTGATCGGGCCAAGTCTTCAGTTCCTTTCTAGCCCATAAAACACCAGATTCTCATTTACGAAGTGAAAGAACCACAAGCACCATTTTGTCCTTAGTGGCTCCCACCAACTTTTTTTTTTTTTTGTACTGGAGATTAAACCCAGGGGTGCTCTGCCACTGAGCTACATTCCCCAGACCTTTTCATTTTTAATTTTGAGAAAGGATCTCTATAAATTGCCCTGGATGGCCTGGAACTTGTGATCCTCCTGCTTCAGCCTTCTAAATAGCTGGGATTATAGATGTGCACCACTATGCCCTGCAGTCCCCCCACTTCTGATGCTGCTCCTGAATCAGCATTTAGCAAACTTATTTCTCAAAGAAGCCAGACCCTTCCTCTCTCCACTAACAACACACACTCAAGACAAGGGCTCACCCTTCCTACCCAAGGACATTCCTCCTACAGGACCAGAGTGTACTTCCTGCCTACTATGTCTGGAGATGCCCAGTTTAAAAGGAAGCATCATATTAAAAACCTCATGAATCCTGCCTTGAGAAATTCCAGCTCTGGTCTTTTGCCTGGGCTCAGCCTCCTGCCCACTGAACCTGCTGCTCATCCTTGTGACCACTGAACCCACTGCAGCCTCAATTTGTTTTCAGCTGATTATCTTGCTTGTTTTCAGTTCCTCCGTCTCAACCCTCAGTCCACTTTATTCATACCACAGATCTCGGGATTTCTCAGCACATCCTTCATTCACAGGGTTTTCAGAGTTAACAAATAAAAATACAAGGCTCCCTGTTAAGTTTGAATTTCAGGTACATAACAAATTTTTATTTTTTAGTTTAATATAATATTTTATTTGGGACATGTATATACTAAAATTTACTTGTTACTTATAAAATTTATTTGTTCAATTTCAAATTGGACCAGATATCCTGTGTTTCACCTGGCAGCCCTATAATCATTCATTCACTCATTCATCAAATATTTATTGAGCACCTGCTATATGTCCAGTGCAATACTAGGTTCTGGGAAAGTCAGCCAAAGTGTCTTCATATTTTGCAGTAAATATGCTCTTATTATATATGCATATGGAATATATATGCTTACAAATGTATAGACTTTTTCAAATAAATACTTTTGAAAAACATTTAACAAGATTATTGAGATTTCCTCAGAACCATCTAAAACACACATATTCAGATCTCCCCTGTTATCTCAAAAACATCTGTACCAATGCATGGTAAATAGGTTTGAATTTAAATCTAAAGAAGGACCATTTGTTGTGTGTGACTGATAAGTTTCTTAAGTCTCTTTTAGTCTATAACAGTTCCCCTCTCCCCTTGTGTGTGCATGTGCTATATATTTGCTGAAGAAATTAGTTCATTCATCTTGTAGAATTTACCATATCCAGAATTTGTACCATTGCTTCCTTATGTCATCAGTTTATTCCTCTATCCCCTGCATTTTCTGCAAACTGTACTTACATCTAAATGCTTGAATAATTCAGATCTAACTTTTTTTTGCATCACGTAAGGGTGGGCACGAAATAGTTGTCTCACCTTCAGCAAAGAGAAGATTGGTCATTGGGTTCAGGTGTTATTGATATGATCCAGACTTTATCCTGTATATTTTCAAGAGATCATTTGGCTGCTGATGGAGTCTGGGTTGCAGGAAGGACAGGAGGGGGAAAAAAAGATCTTGCAGTGTTCCAGGTCAGAGACGATGGTGGCCTGGAACAGGGAAGTAGGACTGAGTGTGTAGGAACACAAAATGTGTGACAAAGTCAGGACCAGGCTACAGGCTAGAAGAGGGAGACCAGCTGACCTGTAAAAGGTGCCTGTGGGAGGAGGGGCAGAGGTGGAAAAGGAGAAAGGAGCATGTTTTTTGAGACACTGAAGTGACAGAGCCAAAGTTCACCTAATACAAGTGGGAAATTGGGAGAGTCAAGGGAAGACAGATTGTCAAGTGTTGCAATAGGTCATAAATGTGAAGAAACAGAAAAGGAGGAAGAAGGAGGCTATGGTCCCCATTCATGTCACATTCCTCAAGTATTACACAAGCTTACACTCACTTACCTGAGGCAGGTCTGTAGTGCTTGCGAGAAGTTGTGCAAATTTGTCTGCACATGTAGTAGGTGTGTTGGGTTCTGCAACTCTGCCCATTGCTGCATTGGGAAATCCATTTCTGCCCCTGCATCTTCACCTGACACTTTAGCACAGCCCCCTGCAGCTCCCCAACCTCATTTCCATCAGAATTCACCTAGCCAGGTACCATTGCTTTCTCAGGGCCCCGTGAAGGAGCTGTTCCTCAGATGAACAGCTCCTATTTCAGCCAGCAAGAGCCTCTTTCAAATACAGGAAGGGAAACCACGATGGGAAGAGGAAGCATCCGCAGATCTGCAGGGAAGATATTCCAGCCCCTGTAACTCCTTCAAATAGCAGAACTAGAGAATATTCTCAGTCTATATGTAAACCAAGTACCAAGGCGATTGACATGCCCAGGGACATAGCAAGTTAGAAGCCGTAGGACCCTGGCTGTGGTCCTACAGACACCTATCCAATTTTTCTGTACCACATCACACCACTTCAAACCTGGTCTGCAGTTACTGTCCTGTTCCTTTACAGATTGGTCCTGGTATGACAGGGTACAGGGGGGGAAAAGGAGGGGCCTGCCAGTACATCCCATCAGTATCACTACAGCTTATTTACCATCGTACCAAAAGATCAGTAGGTGCAGTAAGAGAAGAGAACCTGGGTCAAAGTCATGCCAGTGACAGAGCCAGAGGGCCTGGTATGACAGTTCCACAGTCATGTGCCACATCAGGACATGTTGGTTCACATGGACCTAGATATGTGGATGGTCCCATAAGATTATATTGCCAAGTAACGTCACAGCCCTCTTAGTTTGCATAAAAGCATACCGCATTCACACAACAATGAAATCACCTAACAATGTGTTTCTCAAAACACATTCCTGTCATTAATTGATGCATGCATGATTATAGTAGAATAAAGTAACAGCTACCACTTTTGAGCAAGGTTCTGTGCCAAGACTTCTCATGCATTATCCTGTACCCTCACAATATCCCTGCAAGATGACTATTATGATTTACAATTTACCTACAGACAGCTCAAGTTCAGGGAGATGAAGTAATCCACCCTAGGTCAGAAAGGTATCACTGGCATGGCCAGGATTTGAACATAAGACTATTGGACTGAAAGCCTGAGTTGTTTTCCAATATATCTACTGGCTGTGAATTTTAACCCAGTGACAGACAAGTAGGACTGAGCTTTCTAGCATTAGAGACAAAAAGGTAAATGTAGTCCTTAACCTATAACAGAAAAAAGCAAAGAAGATTGTTAGCAAAAAAGAAATGTTTTCCTAGCAGGAAACTAGAAAGGAATCACTTTATGAAAACTTGACCAGGAAAAAATTGAAAAAAAAAATCAGTTCATTATCTCTATTTAATTATTTGGATGGAAATCAAGATGAAACACTTCCATTCCTGCCATTTAGAGCTTGTTCCATGTTTATAAAGCATGCCTGTGGACAAATCACTCTCCCACCAAAACAATGACAATGGAAAGCTCTCCATTGCCTGCATCAGTTCTTTTCAAATTTGCAATATTAACAACAACAACAAGAAGATGCTTTTATGAGATGAAATCTTACATGGAATTCCAAATAGAGCAAGAAATAGCAGCAAACCTAGACAAACTAAAGCAGAGAGCACAGGACAAAGGAAAGAGGAAGGGAAGGGTCAGTGGGCTCAGACATTAACTGGCCTCCCCCTTTGCTCATCCATCCTCTCCCAAAAGACCTATCCCCCCTTCCTCAGCCCTATGGCTGCTTTTGAAAGGTACTGATTGACATGAGAAAATGCAAAGCTGTTCTGCTGATGTTCAAAGGCCTCCATAATCCAGTCCTGATTTATCTTCCCTCCACTATGCCCAAGCATCCCCTCCTGATGCCTGCCATCCTCCCACTAGTCTTCAAACATATCCTCAAGTCCCCCACTCTACAACCTGTGCATTCAGTTCTTAGCCCACCTATCTAAACCTTCCATCTTTCAAGAAGCCCTTACTGGCTCCTCTGTTTGAAGCTGACCTGCCTCTACCAGATGTGCTGGGCTACCCACAGTCTTCATTACAGCTCTTATCTCATTCTCTTCCTTTGGAATCAATGCTCATCTCTCTGTTCCCACCACAGTCAGACTGTGGCTATTCCATCTCTGCTTTATCCCTGGCTGCCCAGCAAAACAGAATAGGTGCACAGGAAGTGTATATTGTTTTCACCCTCTCTCTTACCCTACAAAGAATTAATGTCACCACACATAGAAGGAAACATGTGGACTTTGTCGTTACAGCCCACCATGTGCAGCACCAGCACCTGTGACCTAGAAGACATCCCCCTGGATGATGATGACCCAAACAGCATAGAATTCAAAATCCTGGCATTCTACACCAAACACCATGTCCTCAAGAGTGCCCCTGCTGTCTTCTCACCCAAGCTGCCAAGAACAAGAAGTTTGTCCCAGAAGGGACTGGGGAGTTGGGCAGCAGAGTCATGGACCCAGATGCCATGGCCTTGCAGACAATCTTCATCGAGTGAGAAACCCATACAGCTTGGCAAGAAAAAGTCTTCTTGGAAAACTCTCTTTGGAGTAACGGAGAAGGAGGAGAGTCCACAGAGTTCACCTCAGTTCTGTTTTCAGGGCCTCGTGGAAGTGGCATCTCAGGATGGTATCCACGGTCAGCAGTGGTCCCGGTCTCTTTCCAGTGTGGAACGGCACCTGGATAATGGAGGTAAGCTTCAGGAACTTTTTCTCTCCCACACCCAAATTTTTCCCCTCTGTATGTGCACAACAACTCATCTCTCCCATGTGGGAGAGACAGGCCTTGGGGCACTCCTGCCACAACTTTCCAGTTGGGTAGTATTCAGTAATAATTGCCCCACTCTGCTCGAGACTGCACGAAAGGAAGAAGATGGCAGTGAAGAGTGCCGGGACTGGATTCTTGGCTCCACTGTCAGTTAATAAGCTTGCTGCTCAAATGCCTAATCCCCTGAGCCACACAGCCACAGGGAAGAGCCCTGGCCAGGGGCTGAGGCTGCCTCCCTTCCCAAGTCAGCTGACCTCTTGGGCTCTGCACAGTGTTTCCATCTGCAAAGATGCCCAAACTTTAACAGAAAGCCCCCTCCTGCAAGGTTTGATTGCCCTGGGTAACTTGTTGATAAAGAGTCAACAGGTGGCAGTAATGTCTCAATTTTAAAATATGACTGTCCTGATTTTCTTGGAGAATCAGCCCACAAGTGAACAGCTTGAGAAAACCTGTTAGGATCAGGGAAATGTCCACTTCCTGTTAGACTTGTAGATGCCTAGACCAGGGAAGATCAGGGTCAGGACTGTATGGGGGACCTTTTTGCACAGGTAATATGAGGGCCTGGCCAAAGGAAATGCAGAACCTGGACCTCTCAGAGGTCATCCTTAGGCCTTTGCTTAACCTTCAGAGCAGGGCATCTGCACTCTGCACTCTGTGCAGCTGAGGGTGGCAACCGTGACTCTACTGGACCAGTGTGTGTGTGTGTGTGTGTGTGTGTGTGTAGGTCTGAACTCTGCAGCAGACAGAAAGGCCTTCAGGCCTACCATGTGGATTGTGCTAGAGACCAAAGGTCTCCACAGACTTTCATCCTTAGACATTTCCTGGGATAAACGACATTTTGTGTTTTGATATTTACTAAAGAATCACATGCCCTTGTTTAATTTTCTGAAGTTTCAAAAGCAGCTTCTTTGCTTTTTTTGGGGGGGGAGGTTAATAAAGTTAACTTTTATTTGAGATTAAGAATAAAATATTAAATTTAAAAAGCAGAGGGTTTACAAGCTGAATAATATCTATGGCTAAAATACACACACACACACACACACACACACACACACACCTCCTAAGGAAACTTTGCTTTAAACACTTATGTACAGCTCATCTTCTCTTCTCCCTTTTCTCTCTCCTCCCTTTCTTGTTTAGTTAATTATGTGGTTTTTATGTTAATTGTGTTGGTTTTACTGGGTGTGACCCAAGGGAGCTTCACATTCTGTTTCTGTGTTGCCACACATCAGGCAGAGCTTAGTTTCACCTGGTTCTTTTAACTAAAGGCTACAACATAACCTTGTGCTGCCTCCAGTACTCATATCCAATCTTTAGTGGCAACAGTGAGGTATATCCCAAGACCAAAATGTTCTGGTGAGAGTTCTCAAGAAGTAGAGAAATGGAAGTTAACACGTATCTTAACCTATCAGCCCAGGTTCTATGACTTGTGAATCTTGTTTCTCTACAGCTCTGATTTCTTATGTGGACTGTTATAGTTAAAATTAGGTTCAGGGCTGGGGTTGTGGCTCAGCGGTAGAGTGCTTGCCTAGCATGCGTAAGACCCTGGGTTCAATCCTCAGTACCACGTAAAAATAAATAAATAAAATAAAGGTATTATGTCCAACTACAACTAAAAAATAAATATTTTTTTAAAAAGATTATGTTCAGCAAGATAGAGTGGAAAATCCACACAACTATGGCTTTGATAACATAGAGGTTTACTTTTCTTTCCCATAAAAGAAGACCAAAGCGTGGAGGCCCAAATCTGATACGGCTGCTCCACGAAGTCATTAGGGATTCCTAGGAATTTTGCCCCGCCTCAGCTAGTGACTTCCAAAGTAGCTGCTCAGATCTCAACCAGTCTATCTACATTTTAAACAGGAAGAAAAAGGAAACAAGGGAAGGTCCCAGGTGCCTAATTTCTAGATAATTCAGAGAGCCTTCTTGAAACTTCTCCTTATATCTCATTTATCACCCCCTGCTGCAAGGAAGGCCAAGATATATTTGTTTGAGCTGGGTACCACAGCTGCCTTTCAAGGACTGAGAAGCACCTTCCAAATCCTGCTCTCTGCTCTTCTTGGCCCCACAATATCCCCCAAAATAGACGCTCGAGGATGGACAGACTTTCTGTCTTCTCCTCACCCCCATCCAATATTCCTTACTTATCCGATAGGACCATATCTAGAATCTTTCCTCCCTTCATTTTTTTTTTTTTAAAGTGAAGGTATTCTGGATGGGAATGTTAGCTAGTCAATCTGAGAAAGTTTTCATCTAACTTGATCTGAACATATTTCCTCTGCATCCCCCACTCATGTTCACAGATCCACAGAAATGAGCACACTAGCTACAGGTTAGTCTAATAGGCACAGGGTACTCCTATGCCTGCTGGTGAAATTGAGATTACCCTGGTTGTGCTAAAAGTGATGAGGAACAGCCTTTGAGGCTCTTCATCAGCCTGGCCCCCTCAGCGTGAAGATGGACACAGGGTGACTTCAGGTGGGAGAATCACACACTGATACCCCTAGATAGGCTGTGCAAGGTAACAGAGGGAGCACATGTTAAGCTGTCCTGTCTCACCTCCTGATAAGACTGCACACTTAGCTTGGGAAATCAGCTTCTTGCCATTTCCTTGTCAGGGGCCATGGTAGCCAGTGTGGAGCAGGAGGTTAGTTTGGCTGCAATAAGGTGATTTTAAAATGGGAAGTACATTTGGTTTGGTTGTTAAAATGAGAAGGAAGAGCATTGACCCTTTTACCCTTGACTTCTCTCTAGTTCACTCCTTACCAGTTTTTGAACCCTGTGATTTGAGCATGAGGAATACCACATTTTTAAGCCAGGTGTCCAGATAGAGGCTTGATAGATAGAGCATTATCTCCATGGTCCTTTGGTGAGTGGCTAGTGAAGGCAAATGAGGGTGCTGAAGCTCTCATGCTAGGGAAGAATGCCAGGGACAGAGGATTGGACATTGTCTTGGCAGCCCTGCCTGTTTCTCTTATGACACATTCCTCCCAGGACTTAGGCCTTGTCTCTTATCTATCATGATTTACAGAGTCTAGGATTTCCCCTGGGTATATCAATCTTCTGGCCAAAACTCTACTCCATTACTACTATCTTCAAGTCTTGTGAATAAGCTAGTGTTATTTTTCAAATAAGACATGATACAACTCAGCTGCTCCATATGGCACCAAAGACAGAGCCTGTGCAAGCTTCTACCAGTTAAGAACTTAGTGACACATCAATAAGGAAAAGTTTACTACCCAACAAGTTAGCCATGTACCTGCCCACCACGCTCTACCCCATCCCAAACCAGGTACAAAGCTGACTTGTCTTTGGCCGGCTACAACATTCAGGGGGTCAATGCCATGTAAACTTTCCTGTTCCCAAATGCTTTATTCTATACCTCTGCCTGCAAATGCGCAACCCTTTTCATGGATTATAAATTCTTGAAGGATGGGTCTTACTCTGTGTATCCTTGTTTACCTATAAGCGTTAATTTAATGCTTCCCAGTGGACATGGAGGAAAGACGTGTGATCATATGAGCAGGTGGAATTAAGTGTTTATTTAATAATGAATTTAGGTGATGAATATGGCCTAACATCTGGGATATTTCCCAAATCAAAACAAAATAAAGAATAAAAATAAAATCATAATGAGCATTCCATTAAAACATTTCCTTTTGTGTGTCTTCCTTTGCAAAGGGGAAAGGGGACCATAATTTGGAAAACGTCAGAATGAGATACAAATAGGTAATTGTTACAAGGGGACAATCATTCTTCTGAATACTCCTCCTGCATCCCAGCTTCTGCCAGGCAACTGCCAGCTGTTTCTGAAGAATGATCCGTACACACACACACACACTCACTCTCTCTCTCTCTCTTTTTCTCTCTCACTCCTGGGCAATTTCTTCTCATTCTGGGGTGACCTCTTCATTCCAGGAAACTGCATACCAACGAGCCAGATGACATTCTGGGAAAGGCCACTCAGCCCCATTTTCTCTTGTTTCAGATGTGGACCCCAAAGTTGCTTCCATTGCCAACCGAGTGGCTGACATTGTTCACTCCTGGCCACCATCAGAAAGGACCCACCTCCGGGGAGGAGGCTTGGAATTCAAAGATAAAATTGTGCTGCAGGGTCCTCGTACCCAAAAAGAAAGCTTAAAAGTTGTGCTACAGGGTCCTCGTACCCAAAAAGAAAGCTTAAAAGTTACAGGTACAAGTTCTAAACAAGGTAAATCTTCCTTCCATGTGTTTGTGTTGGGTGAGTGTGCCAGGCAGAGGTATACAAGTATTCATGTGTTTGTTTAGCTCAGCGCTCTGAAACTTGCAAGTCTCAGCAGACCTGCCAGCAACATGCTCTAGGCACTGAGCTATAGTTTGAGAACTGCCCAAGGCACGGGGACTACACCAACATGATGAACCAACATGCAGAGCTCACTGCTGAGTCAAAAAGTCTCCTGCAGTGAAAGAGGAGGAAACACGAAGTGTGCGTTCAACCTTGTCCTGGGAGATGTGGGATGCCTTATTAGATTGGATCCTGTTACCAATGGCTCTGGACCAGTTTGCACTGGATAGAGTTGGAACATCAACCCAGAGATTTAAATATTGCTTTGGGATCCTAGGGAAAAGCAGGGGTCTGTCAAATAGCAGGTCTGGTGAAGAACATGAAGCAAAACTGAGAAGTAGTGACCAGACTAGGTCAGTTGTCACCAAAACCATAGCAATAGCTGTAGCTAGGGCTGTAGGCCCCATGAGACTTATGGCAACTGGGGACTCTGAGGGGAGAATTAAGGAGAGAAGGACCAAGTGTCACAGGAAGAAAAGCTCGTTCCTGCCTTTCCTTACCAACTATGTTCCTCTCCTGTGATTTCCTCCCTAGCACCTCCAGTGGAGGCTGTGAGGCAGAGGTGGCTCCTGGGTTGGAGGCACCTTCAAGATCAAGGCAGAAGGTCTCCTTGCAATTGCTGGCACACAGCAGTGGCTTTGTCCACCTTCTGCTCTACTGTGGGGCACACACACACTGCCACTGAGGCTTTGAGTGAGGAGTTGGAGGAGAGGAAGAGCCCTCTGAATCTGCCCAAAAGAAAATGTCGACACTTTATGGCTATCTCAAGTGTAGGAAGTGATGGGAAGTGATCTCCTAAACCAAGCTGAAGCAAAGGTGCTCTTCCTCCCCAGGGAAGAATCCAGGGCTCTCTCAGAGCAGCCTTCCCAGAGGAAGGCAGCACCAGACTGAACAGTCTGCTCTTGCTGCTCTCAAGTAATGTGAGCCCCAGGTGTCCTGCTCCCCTCTCCCTTCACCAGACTGGCCACACCAATTCCCTGACCTCTCTTCTCTTATCCTCTTAATAAGTGGACAAATGTGAATTCTGTGACCTCAGATTTGGGCTATAAGTAAGAAATACTGTTCTCTCAGTAACTGGCCTTTCTCTGTTTGGATTTTATTCTATACCAATGACTATTTTCTTTGCTTTCTTTTTTTTTTTTTCTTCTGTACTTGGGGTCAAGACCCCAGGACCTCACACGTGCAAAGCAAATGCTCTACCACTGAGCTACACCCCCCAACCATTTTATTTTTTTATTTTGAGACAGGGCCTCATTAAATTGCTGAGGCTGGCCTCAAACTTGTGACCCTCCTGCCTCAGTCTTCTGAGTCCCTGGGATTATAGGCATGTGCCACCATGCCACACCTACAATGACTTTTCTCATCATGTTTGTTAGCAAGTTGTGAGACAAGAAAAATCAGTCTGCTTTCTTGGTTCCAACTTGTACGCTATGCAAAATGATAGCCATTTTCAGTCTATTTACCACTGGAGACTTAGGGATGGGAGGATTTATTAATTTCATTTATTTTATCCCACCTCGTTGTAGAGACATGGCATATCATGTTTATATTCCAGTCAGTTAAAAATCAATCAAATTTCAAAGAGAATATAAGGAGAAAACAAAAGTAGGAAAATAAGATGGGTTTAGGAATTAGGTTAATCCCAAAATGTAGGACAGAAGATTTTTATCTTCCGTTAGATCTGAGCTACAAATTTGGCTCTTCCTGGTAGATGATACAAAGGTGAAAATATGATCAAGTATGTAATCTGTGGTGTCCATAAGGAAAAACATCATTGCTAAAGAAAGGCTACAGACCAGAGGGACAGCTGGGGTGTAGGTCAGTGGTAGACTGCTTGTCTAACTTGCATGAGGCCCTGGGTTTGATCTCCAGCACCAAAAAATACATAAAATAATAAAACCAAAATAAAAACCAGAGGGAAATTTTTTCTAATATCTTCATAGGATCATGTATATGAAACTGATATCTTCAACAACATTCTTACAGTCAGAGGGGTGGGGAGGGGCTAGTGGGCAAGGAAAGAAAGGACTATAGAAGAGTCTCAGATGGTTTGTGTCTGATTAGAAGAAGCAAGGTAAAATTTATTAGCTAGGAATTAGAAAGCACTCCTCTTCCTTGATTCTAAACCAAGCCACAAGCATCGCCACTGGGAAAATTTAAGATTATTTTGTGCTTTTCTCTTCCTTTTTAAAATTTTTTTTAATTTTATGTGGTGCTGGGGATTGAACCCAAGGGCTTGTACATGTGAAGCAAGCATTCTAGCAATTGAGTTATATCCCCAGTCCCTATTTTGTGCTTTTCTTGAAAGAAATAACTGCCATTTTCCCCTCAACAGATGGAGAAGACCAAATAATATCCAAAATTGTTGAGCTGCTGAAATTTTCAGGAGATCAGTTGGACAGAGAGGTATGAAGTACCTTGAACTAATGAGATTTCTTTCTCTTCCATGTACCAGTGCAACAAGAATAGAACTGTACTCCAGGTTGTAACCTTATTCCTTTTCAAAGTTCTGGTTTCCACTTAGTCCTAAATTTTATTTCCCTTGGAGTCCACATTCATGCTGGCTGCATCTCAAAAATGAATCACTTTGGAAAACATAAGTAAACTTTCTGGAGCCTCCCTGGAATTTTTGGAAACTAGAAAAGTAGCTGTGTTATTGCAAGAAAAAAAACACCAGTAAATTAAAATTTGCTGAATAGGATTATTAATCTCATTCCCCATGTAACTGATCCTCAGTGCTGTTTAGACTCTCCCATTTGCCCTGCAGCCTGGATATCTATGTTCCACAGGGGACCAAAGGCTGAAGACTTCTGAAATCATCTCCCCTACAGTTGCTGAACTATTTGTTGTCTGCTTATAGTCTTCCCCTAGCCATTTGGCCAGGGAAGCAGGACAGTACCACTTGGAGAACTTATAGACTTCCTGCCATTTCCAAGTTGAGAACCATCTTTCTAATCAGGAAACTGTGAGAGTTGCTTTCAGAGAAAGGAGATGACAATCCCCTCCCCCCACACACACACCCCAGTGTAATCATAGAGCTTCTCTTAAGAACGCCATCTCTTCTGTATCCATTTCCCCCAAGCTAATGCATCATCTGTAGGGACTGTCAATCAGGATCTGGCCTGTAGATGTTTGCCTTTGTTTTGCCAGGATCTATGGGGAGGAAGTCAGGCCCAAGGCAGCTTCTGCAGTAGTGGGAGACAGCAGGAATTAGTGGGCCACCCTACTCAGTCACTGCATGTTAACAGCTCTTCTCATAAGCTTTGTCAGAACTGTGCCCAGAGGATGATGACCATGAGGGTGAAGGGCCTGGGAGATGGTACAGAATGAAAAACAGGGGTAGTGAAAGTTGCAGAATGAAAACCAGATGTATCAAGCTAAAGAAAAAAGAACTGTGTGTGTGTGAGCTCCAGGGCCACATGGCGAGGTGGGCACATGCAAAGGAAGCAGGGACTGGAACGTGATACATGATTGGAGCACAACTTGAGTTTCTCCAGAGCCAGCATTATGGATACAGAAGTTATGGGGCAATTGATTTCTTTCCATTGGAAGAATTTTTTTGGTTCTCAAGGCCACCCCTCTGGGTCAAGGGCTGCCTGTGAAAGAATGATATTGTCACTAGAATTGCAAGTGGGTGCCAAAAACTAGTCAGCAGTTAAGACCTGAACTAGGAAGGCTCTTTTACCCCAGAGGTTTTTACAACCCTGAAACTCTGACTTGGCCACCTCCTCTTCCTGCTTCTGAAGGCAGAGATTTGCAGTAGCCAAGCTAAGGTCAGGGAGGGGTGGTGTGAAGGTAACCCTTCTGGTTAGGAAGGAAGAGGCTTTCCTTTCCATCCCATAAATTCCCACGGTCAGAAACCTCGTTTTGCCTGATGTTTTATCTTCTTTGGTGGTATTTTACATTATTTATTTAGAAACTTTGGTTCTTATTCCCTTGGCATGTTTACCCAATTGAAGACTTTGGTGGGAACATAAGGTAGGTGTGACCTTGTTTTATGTGGCCGTGAGTTCCCACTGTATGGTGGGAAACTGACACTGAGCAGGGGCGACCAGCCCTGGCTGCAGAGCATCTGCAAAGAAGCTCTCCTGAGAGGCCAGGGCCAGGTGTGACTGAGAGGGGACAGAACAGGGGAGGTGCTCTGCAGAAGATGTTTTCTTTCTGGCATTTGATTCTTTTACTGTCCCGGCAGACTTCAGACTTCCAGGTGCTGGCTAAGGTTTTGAGCCTCACTTCTTTGATTGGGCCACTAAAGAAGAGTCCTTTCTTTGGGTAGGAAGTTGGTCATTCCTGCTCAGATTTATAACTCAAATAGGACCCTGTGTCTCTGAAGTTGGGAGGAGAGCTTGGCTCAGGTAAAGAACACTATCTACCAAAATCTTCATATAGCATCTGACTCATTCCCCAACTATCCCTGTTAAATATTTGCTGAAAATCTATTTAATGTACCATTCCTCAAGGACAGAACTAGAGGATTTTCAAATAAGCATTTAGTGTCTGCTTATTGAGAAATCTCTGTTTTCACTTGGCAATCATCATACTAACAGACATTGCAGGAGGTGAAGCACAGAGATACTAGGCTGTAGGAATGGTGGGAGGTAGAAAACTGGGAAAGGAACCAATGGATTCGATTTTTTAAGTGAACATGTGTACTTCAGGGAGGCTTCCTGAAACCCCCAGCTCCCACAGAATCCTGAAAAATGATTGGCTTGGCATGTTGGTACATTACCTGTAATTCCAGCTATTCTCAAAGCTGAGACAGGAGGATCACAAGTTTGAGGTCAGCCTCAGCAGCTTATTAAGAACTTCAGCAAGTTAGCAAGACCTTATCTCAAAATAAAAACTAAAAATAAATAAATAAAAAGGCTGTGAATATAGTTCAGTGGTGGAGTGCACCTGAGTTCAATCCCAGTATTGCTAAATAAATGAAAAATTTAAAAAGGTCTGGGGGCATAGCTCAGTGTTAGAGCACTTGCCAGACATGTGCAATCCCCAGTCTCTTTCTGTGTCTCTTCTCTCTGTCTCTCTCTCACACACACACACACACACACACACACACACACACACAAAGATAATTTCCAAAGCCCTTGCTCCACATCCAGCACTATGCTAAGTGTCCTACTCAGTTACCCTGTGTTATAGGTGCTATCATCATCCTGGTTTAGAGATGTCAAAACTAAACCTGAAAGGTTAGTAACTTCCCCAAAATTGCATAGCAATTTCTGAGCTTCAAATCCTGTTCATTATTTTACCTCTAGTAAAGCACTTACCATTGTTTTATAGTCCCCCAAGTAAAGGCCTGAGTCTCAATTCTCCATGGTCCCAATCCACTGTAAGTGCTCGGGAAATATTGTTAAATGTTGAATGAATGGACTGTTCAATTTTATCACTTCTTTGTCCAGATGAAATGAATCCACAAAGCAGATCCATGCCTTTGTCTGGTTCTGTAGGACATTGTGCCATGATTGAGACCAGACTCGATGCTCTTTCCATTGGTTTCTTTAGTGGCCCACATTGAAGCTAGAGAGTAGCCCTCTGTCTGCTTCAGTGAGCCAAGTTGCCACTTTAGTGACTGCTTCTCCTCTCCTACACAGTTGAAGAAAGACAAGACTTTGCCGAGCAGCCTCCACGGTATTATGACCTACTCTGTTTTCAAGACTATCACAGACCAGTTCTTAGGGAATGTGGACACCAGAGGAGAATCAGAAGTAAAGGCACAGGGCTTCAAGGCTGCCCTTGCAATAGACGCCATAGGCAAGCTCACAGCCATTGACAACCACCCAATGAACAGGGTGCTGGGCTTCGGAACCAAGTACCTAAAAGAGAACTTCTCACCCTGGGTTCAGCAGCATGGTGGATGGGTAAGTGCATTTCTATTTAAAAAATGATTCTTCTATGAACTCAGAAGGAATGAGATGGAAAAGGTTCTTTTTGTTTTGGTTTGTTTTTAAAGCGAAGGGAACACATCTGTGAAGCAGTTCTCATGGATTTAGGACACTTGAGTGGCAAGAGATATACGCCATTGATGGAAACATACTTTTAGTGATTATCTTCATCAACCATAAATATTTACTGAGTTCTCTCAGGGTATGTGGGGGGTGGGCAGGGGGTGCCAAGAGACTGGTCAGATAAAGCAGGAAATGAGGAGATGCTGAGATATTAAATGTTTAGATAGATGTAATTTCTGTTTTCACAAATTCTGAAGGCAGCGGAAGTCTGGCAGTGAGACAAGGGTAGAGAGATGGAGCCTCACGCTCCCTGATACAGACTGTGGGGGCTAATCCTCATGCAGAGATTCAGAGGTCACGGTATTTTGTCATCACTGCTTTGACCCACTCACTTTGACAGGGACATTGAGATACAAACCAAAAGGCAAAAGTTAAACTTTCATCTATTTTTACTTATCCAATATCAATCAAAACAGACATCTTCTCCTCCTCCATCCTTTATCCCTGAGATCTCCTTAAAATGGTCATGTTTAAATGCTACCCATTGCTATATCCCAGAACCTTTGATCCCAGAGGCCCAGGAGGACAGGACTTTGCTCCACATTATCATTAGTCCTCCTTCCATGAGAATGGTCCAGGGACCACAGGAAGCTTGAGTTCACACTAGGCATGCTCACAGTGACCCTGGGACCTCCAAACAGACTTAGTCTCTTGGGTATTGGAAGAAAAGTGCAGTTGATCTTGCCTACAGGGCTAAAGTGCCCACTATGGTCTTCGGTGGCTGCCCACCTAGTCTACTGTTCCTTTCTATCTTCCATTTTTGCACTATACACACATAAGTGTTATCAAATATAACACTTAAGCGGCTGATTTGAACAACTAACCCCCTTATGCATTGTAAATCCAAGCTGCCTTAACCCATTCTGAAAGGAGTACAGATTCCTTGACAAGACTTTGGTTCTCCCTGATCTTCCTCTCTGGATCCCTTCAAGTCCCTCCTCTACCCCAAAGTTTTCCTGACCACACTAACTGTGGCCTCATCAGTCTCTGGCTGTAACACTTCATGGCTGCACAACAGTAATATACAACAATCAAATTCCCAACCATGTTTCAAGCATTCATTTTTAAATCATTATTGGTCCTATTACTGTATTTCTGTGAAGAAATGATAAGTATCAATTGGGTTCACAGGCCACCTCTCATAAGTCTATTTGACTCATTAATGCTGCTGAAATGTCATAAAAGTTCCATTTTTAAAAAATTAGTGGGCTGGATGCTGTGGCACAGGCCTGTAATCCCAGCTACTCAGGAGTCTGAGGCAGGAGGATTGCAATTTGAAGGCCAGCCTGGGTAATTTAGTAAAAACCCTGTCTCAAAAAGAAAAAAGGAGGGGGCATAGCGTGGTGGCAGAGTGCCCTCCCAGCCCAATCCGCAGTATTACAAAACAAACAGTGGTTGAACACCAAAAGTACAACAACAATAACAACAACAAAAAAAAATTGGGTTTCATTTTGGTAGCTTCCAAGGCCTCTACCACCAGCAAAATGAAAAATCAGAACTGGGCGGTGTAGCTCAATTGTAGAGCATTTGCCTAGCATATGTGAGGCCTTGGGTTCCATTTCTAGAACTACAAAAAAAAAAAAAAAACCAAAACAAGAAACGAAACCCCACAGTAAAGAGAAAAGAAATACTTACAAATCATATTTTAGTAATGATATATTCAGAAAATGTAATCAGCTCTTCCAATTCAACAACAAAAAGTAATCCAATTTTTAAAAATTTGGCCATTGATTTACATAGACATTTCTCCAAAGAAGATATATAAGTGGTCAATAAGCACACAAAAAATGCTTGACACCTTCATTTCAGCAGTAGGGAAATGCAAATCAAAACCATGATGATCTCTACCCACCAGGATGGCTCAAATAAAAGCTGGTGAGGATGTGGAGAAACTGGAACCCTCATACACTGCTGGTTGAGTTATAAAATGGTGCAGCCTCTTTGGAAAACAATTTGTCAGATCTCCAAAATGTTAAATACAGAGTTATGAGGGGCTTGGGGTGTGGCTCAGCAGCAGAGCACATGCTGAATGTGTGCAATGCTCTGAGTTCAATCCCCCCAGTACCACAGGAGAAAACAAAAACAAAAACACAAAGTGTTGCCAGTAGCACTCCTATAACCAAGAAAACTGAAAACACATTTCTATATAACACTTGTCCGCCAATATTCATTGCAGAATTGATTATTCATAATAACCAAGAAGGAGATACATGCGAAATGTCCATCAACCAATCAATGAAGAATGGGTGAACAAAATACAACTACATGGTGCAATATGATTCTTCCATAAAAAGGAATAAAATATTGACATATATTGATAGTATATATAATATGTATATATATTTATATATATATATAGTATGTATATATTTATATATTTATTTATATGAGCCTTAAAAACATCATGTTAGTAAAGAAATCAGACCATATGTTGTATGATTCAATTTACAGGAAATGTCCAGAACAGGCAAATTCATAGAGAAAAAAAGTAGATTGTTGCCAGGAGCTGGAGAATGAGGAAATGGGAGTAACTGCTAACAGACATGAAGTTTCTTTTTGGAGTGGTGAAAATATTCTATAATCAGATGTGATGGTTATGCAATTCTGAATATTGTGAAAGCAACTAAATTATATACTTTAGCAGGGTAAATTTTGTGGTATAATTTTATTTCAGTAACTATAAATAGTGGTTCTCATTCTAGTAATCAAAAAAGGAAAGAAAAGTGAATACAAGTATTTTTATTATTTTAATTTGGCTTCTGGGGTTAGAAAATCAGATGTAGTTAGAGAAAATAAATTCTTCAGTAAAAATGCTAAAGAGGATTGCCCAAGGCTTTAACAATTGATGGCACTAGTTAGTTCTCTATCCTCTGTAGTTTTCCATCCAAATTTTATGACTTATCCAGAATATCAGAAACCTGAATCTTAACTCTTGGCCATGGTTAGGTTTAATTTGGAACATATAAGTGGAAATTAGAAGAATGAAGAAAAAGAATGTGTGAGAAAGGACTCATTTTTCCAAACTGCCAGAAACGGATTGAAAAAATAAAAGATGTTTATAAAAGAATCTTTATGAGCAGCTATGAACTGATATAAGCTATAAGGGTCTGAAGGAGATGTGGACCTGTGCTCCCTCTTGCTGGTCAGGGATCAGGGGACGATTGGCCCCCAGTATCTTGGTGGCTCTCAGTGGTGGAGAAGGAAAGAGAACTCTTCCTGTACCCAAGCCTACTAGCAGCTCAGGGCTCCTAACTACCTGAACATCCCACATTTCCTAGGAGGGTATCTAATCTTCCCAACTGAACTACAAATAAGTCTATGAGGGCAGCATGATGTGTTTTACACCCCCTTTTATCTCTCATGGCTCACATCATTTTACTTACATCATAGATATTCGACCAATACTTGTGAAATAGTAAAAGAATCAACCAAATGAATGTATAGCAACTCCATCACCAAAGCATGCTAATCAAGCGACTGTGAGATTTTAATTTACTCCTGGCCTCTTTTTCCTCATGGTGGGGGCACCGTTCATGTTGTTATCCTGCAGTCCACAACCTCTCCTCTTTTCTTTCTGCAGCACTTCAAAAGGAGAAGTTTGCAACCTTCACAGTCATGAACCTTTTGGTACTTTGTTGAATTTTTAAAAACAGCCTTCAAGCCTTCCCATCTTGGAGAAAAGATCCAGTCTGTTAGTCCTGGATATGTAACATAAGACCTTAGCAAATGTTTTCCTTGCAGGCATACCAAGGATGTCTGTCACCTTTCCAAACCCTCCCCCAACCTGAACGTAGTCTTCAAGCCTCAGGTCATGCCTGGGATAAGAGCAGAGTTAACAAGCATATGTTTTCACTTCAACGGTGAATCAAACTTGGAATTTTAAGAATTTATTTCTCTTTTCCTCTTCTAGGAAAAGATACTTGGGATATCACATGAAGAAGTAGACTGAAATATCAGATTTGTCATCCTGGAATATTCATTGTCCAATGGTGGTCCTGTGCACATCAGTCTCAGCAGAGACTACAGGAAAAAATTAAAATGTTAACAGCAGTCCTGTGACTCAAAAAGGCATGGGGAGAGGCCTTGGGCCTCTCTTGCTCACAAGACACAGATGCATGGTCTTGGGCTTTGACGTTGATGTTTTTCAGGTCCTTCACTGAGTGTGGGAAGAAGTCTATAAAGATAAGTGGTCATTCTGCTTTCAAACATTCAGAACGGAAATCATCCTCCTGCTTCTGTTAGCTCCTTTGGAGATGTCTGCTGACCTCACAAGGGTGAAATGCTAAATCATGCACATGTTTACTTTTTAGTTTCTAGTACTATTTATTTTTTAAACTACACTTGGAATGGTCTAACAAATGTCATTTCAAGCCTACCTTTAGGAAGATGCTGTTATTTGTGTTAGCAGACATAGCTGAAAGAAATTCTTAAATTTACTGTGTCCACTAGTTTGGGGGAGATACAGCTATAGATGTCTTTTTGAGCCACTTTTCTCAAAACATTTTCTGGCAGTTTGAAAGACTTCAATTTAGAACAAAACCACCATCGCCGTGGCCTTCAACCTGCAGCTCCCTGATATACCTCTACTTCACAAGGCCCCTGGAACCTCCTTTATTATTCTTGGTGGTAGCATAATGATTAGTAGCTGGTAAAATAAATACATAGAAAGACTACTGTGGAAAGAGTGTCTTTTTGGTTAAAATAATAGTAATGATACTAGGGTTTCTGTGAAGATCGAATGAGTTAATTTACATAAAGTCGAACAGACCTTGGTAGTGTTAAGTGATTGCTTATGTTCCTTAATATGTGTGAGTCCTCCACTAAGCCAAAAATGTACTCGTCTCTCAAAGCAGTCACTGATTTTCTGAAACGGATACTGTTCAGAATGAAGATTTTTAATAAGTGAAATATGTTCAATAGTGTTTAAGTCATGCTTTTAAAAAATACTATCATATTATAGGGTCTTACACATTTCTGGATTTCAAGCACCTATGATACAACCTGACATAAAATAGATGCTTAACAAAACTCTGATAAACAAAAATAAATAAATAAGTCAATCAGACATACTTTCAGATTCAAGGGGAAGCTGGTTTCCAATAACTTATCACAATGTTATTCTTCTATTCTTCTATTCTGTCATGTGAAAGTCACAAATGTTAGGAATAAAGGAGTCTATTTACAGATGGAGACGCCAAAGACTTCTCCTTCTCCTCCTTTAATCTAACCATGCCAACCTATTTGCCATTTCCAAAATGCAGTATGCAACCTTGCACTTGGAGCCTTCAGAATGAGTGATGTTCTCTCTGCTTGAATGTCCTTGCCTGCCTGCCTCCTTTCCCCCTACTGCCACTAATCCAAAAGACTCCAGCCCATCTTTCCAAATTTACTACTTAATTTCTCCCCTGAACCATTTACTAACTCTGCCTATAATATCATGGGGGCTCTATTTGGATGAGTTTCCTCCTATGAATGTTCCAAAACCCTCTGCATATATATGTTATACTTAACACAAATGTACCACAAGAACTGATTTTTCCCAGTCTTTCTCAGAGGATTATAAACTCTTATAAACAGCATTATATCTAGTTTAGCTTTGTATATCTAATGCCAGGCACATTTCTGGCACATAACTGCAGAACCATACCCTAGCCTTGCTTCTATTGCTTGTAAATCAATATATGACTGGAGTATGGCCCAAGATATGCGTAGTCATTACAAGTTCTCCAAATCTTTCCAATATCATCTGCAGCTTCTAATTAAGATGAAGTGGTAGTTATCAGATTTCATTTCCTTCTTGAACCAACTAAATAACAGACAAAATAAATGAAACAACAATTTTCAAGACACTGGCATTACCATGAAGAACTGGTCCTGGACAGGTGAGAAACCAACTGAGCTCATACTTTTGTTCTAGAGTATTGCACATTCAGTTTCCAGGCCATGTTAGAGAGAGGGGAACCCACTCAGGGGTCAGCAGTCTTTCTCAGTGGAGCAGGGAGAGCTGGGAGTCCAGGAGGGCCAAAGCAGCCAATGTGTGCAGGGAAGATAAAGGAGAAAAGACTGGCACATGACACTCCAGACCTGAAGATGGTTCCCTTTAAGTTTAGAGGTGAGTACTGATCAGTATATGCATGTGAAGAAATTACCCACGGCTTGGGAAAGAACCTCCTGAGAATATTTAAAGGAATATTCTCCGAACTTACACAGGAATAGTACCTATTTCAGCAACGTGTTGAATACTCAAAAAGAATTTCTCCTCAGAAATGTAAAAAAAAAAAAATTAGTCTTAAACACTCTTCTGCCTGCTCAGTAGAGACTAAGACCAAAATTGAAAGGATTAAATTTATCAAGTAACTCAATTACATATCAAAATTTAATAAGTTGTATAGGATTGCCAAAAATATCCAACACCCAACAGATAACTCACAATGTCTGGCATATAATAAAAAATTACAAGGAATGCAAAGAAGCAGGAAAATGTGATCCTAATAATCAGGGGGGATATCAGGCTACTGATGTAGTTTAGTAGAACATTTGCAGGGCATGAACATTTGCTCTGGCTTCAAACCCCAGTACCACCAAAGAAGAAGAAAGGTGGGGACATAGAAACCAAGAAAACCACTCTAGAAATAACACCACTTATAAAATTATTAGATAAGGGGACTAAAACTGTTAACTGTAGTCCATGTGTTCAATAAGCCAGAGGAATGACGGAATATGTAAAGTACCCATTATAAACATGACTAAAACCACACTTGCAGAGCTGAAGTCTATAGTATCTCAGAAGAAAGTACACTGGGATGCATTAATAGCAGATTAGACATTACAGAAGAATAGACAAGTAAATTTGAAGACATAGCAATAGATCCAAAATAAAAGCAGGGGGAAAAAAACAAAGCAACAGTAAATTATAGGACTTCATGTGGTCCTGGGGACTGAACCAAGGGCCTTGGATAGGCTAGGCAAGTGCTCAACCACCGAGCTGTAACCCAAATCATAGGACTTCTAATGGCCTAATGTGTTTGTAAGCAGAGTGAAGTTTCCAGATCTCACAGAAAACTGTAAATCCACAGAACCCCAAAAACTGAGTGAGTGCCAAGCACAAAACACATGTTGAAAATGACACCTAGGTACATCAGAATTGCTCAAAATCAGTGACAAGGGGGGAAAAAATCTTAAAAATACCCAGAGAAAAAGGTATATTGTATACAGAAAAACAAAAACTCAAATGATAGCAAACTTCTTGGGAGACTATATAAGAAAATAGAGTAAACCTCTCTAATGTGTGTGTGTGTGTGTGTGTGTAAACCCCCCTTTAAACACAGAATTCTATACCCAGCAAAAAGTGGTTTAAAAATGAAGATGAAGCCAGGTGCAGTGGTGCACATCTGTAATCCTAACTATGGGGCAGGCTGAAGCAGGAAGACATAAGTTTGAGCCCAGCCTGGACAACTTAGCAAAATCCTGTTTCAAAATAAAACATAAAAGGGGCTGGGGAGGTAGCTCAGTGATGGAGTGCCCTGGGTGCATCCCAAGTACCAAAAGAAAAGACAAAAAAGAAAAGTGCAGCATACCAGAATTTGTTACAGGCACTAGACTAGTACTTTAGCAGAGGGAAATTTATGCAGTAAATAGCTATATTAGGAAAGGACAGTCATTCATTAATTACTTAAGCTTGCAATTTATTTATTTATTTTGGATTTGGGGATTGAACTCAGAGCACTTAAACACTGAGCCACCTCCCCAGCACTTTTTTGTATTTTATTTAGAGAGAGGGTTTCGCTGGTTGCTTAGGCCCTCTCTAAATTGCTGAGGCTGCCTTTGAACTCATGATCCTCCTGTCTCACCCTCCTAAACTGCTGAGATTATAGGCATGTGCCACTGCACCCAGCTTAAGCTTGCAATTTAAACTAGAAAAAGCACAAGAAAAGTATAAGAAAGGAAGTTAAAAAGGGGAATCAAGGAACAGATTATGAAAAATCAATGAAACAAAAAGTTGATTTGTTAGTAGATCAATAAAACCTCCAGCCTGATTGATGGTGGGGGGAGGACTAAAACAAACAAACAAAAATGAAGATCCGAAATTATTGGAAAGAAAAAAGTAATATCTCTAGGTTCTACAGATAATAAAAGGATAGTAAGAGAACATTATAAATATCTTCATGTAAAAATTCAACAACAGATGAAATGGACACATGTCTTGTAAGACAGAAACTAGCAAAGCTCACTCAATGAAAACAGAGTGGGGGGCCAGGCATGGTACCACACAGCCCCCCCCCCCATTCTGTGGGAGCTGAGGCAGAAGGATCCCAAGTTCAAGGCCAGTCTGGGCAATTTAACAAGATCTTGTCTCAAAATAAAAAAGGCTGGGGGCTGGTGTTGTGGCTCAGTGGTAGAGCACTTACTTGGCACATGCAAGGTACTGGGTTTGATTCTCAGCACCACATAAAAATAAAGTATACAATTTGTTGTTTAAAAAATATAAAGCTCAAACTTCTGAAAAAATAAAATAAAAAGGGCTGGGTGTGTAGTTTAATGGTAGAGCACCCCTGGGTTCAATCTCCAGTACTTAAAAAAATTAAAAAAAATGAGGCTGAGGATGTAGCTCAGAGGTAGAGTGCTTGCTGAGCATATGTGAGGTCCTGGATTTGATCTCTAGCACAAGAAAGAAAGGAGGGAAGGGAGAGAGGGAGAGAAATGTTATAATATTTCAGTAGTTTCTTCAAAGTTTAGCATAAAATAAATATCTACATTGTGACTCCTCTATTTCACTGCTAGGAAGTCACTCAAAGAAAAGGAACATAGAGTGAAATTTGTACTATATACAGTAGCTTTATTTGTTAAAATCCAAACAGAAAACAATTCAAATGTCCGTGATCAGAATAATGTACAAGTAAATTATGGCATATCCATACAATGGAATATTATCCAATGATAAAGACAAGTGACTACTGCTATATGCTATCACACAGATGAATCTCAAAATAATTACACAAAGTAAAAGATACTAAAAAGAAAGCATGTACTATGTAAATTTATTTCTATAGAATTCTAGAAAATGTAAACAAAAATGACAGAAAATAGATCATTGTTGCCTAGGGACAGGAAGGAATGGGAAGAAGGGATTTAAGAGGCATGAGTATTCTGGAGTGATAGAACTGCTCTTTATCTTGATTATTTTATTGTTTGATGCGTGTATGTAAACATTACAAAACCTATCACTGCATATGTCATACACATGCAGTTTATTGTATGTCATTTATAGCTCATCAAGGCTGTTATAAATTTTTCCAAGTTAAAGGTCAAGTGGAAACATTTGCAGACAATCAAAAGTAGAATTTCTCATGAGCAGACCAACAGTAGAAGCTATATCAAAGGAAATTTTCAGCCTGAAGGAAAATTATACTAGATGGAGGAACACCAAAAAATATGTGGGTAAATAAAAGAATTTTTCTTATATTTAAATTTTTTAAAAAGATAACTGACCATTTAAAAAGCATGAATAACAACTCTTGATATTCACAGCATGTGAAGAAAAATGTATGACAATAAAAAATAAATAAATAAAAGACAAGACAGCATTCTGGTAAAATGGTAAAGCAGGAAGCACCAGAAATCTGGAACCCATCTAAACAACACTGGCAGAATCTACCTGGTGTAACTAACTA